ATTCTGTTCGGCAGCTCTGCGCTTATACGTGTGAAGGCCTGCCGCTGTTCGGGTTTCATTTGACGCGGATAGTGCAAATCAGAATACCGGCAAAACGCCCGCAGAAAATTTGGGGCTGAGTTGTAAATCTAGAAGTGGCGCAACGGGAACGTCTGGTGCGGAGTGAAGTTGGGGAGGGGGGGGGGTAGCAGCAGTGATCAAATGATTAAGGCGAAGGAAGCCCGCTCAAGTGAGCGGCGAGAAACGAGATTGCGTGTGGCGCCACCACCAGGCGGCGGAAGGAAGGAAGAAGGAAAGCCCCGGGGGGTTCAGCGGTTGCAGAAGAAGATGGCGTCCGGGTCACGGGGCGGTGTTTCGTTCACACGCGCACGCGAGGTCACACGAACGCTATCAAGTGCACCTCACGCGTGTACGTGCCGAGGTACGCCGCGCGCACAAACACAGGTGCTCGAAGCAGGATCATCGACAGGAGTGCGCGGCATCCAGGAAACGGCGTGTGTTTTCGGCCCCGGCGGACTAGGTGGAGGGGGGAGGAGGAAACGCGGCGCCCTTGACCTTGCCTGCCGGCGGCGCCGTTAGCCGCAAGTGGGACGAGATGCTTCCCAAAGTCAGGGCCACCGGTCGTCGGCTCCGAGTGACCCACATAGGTCCCTCCTCTCCCTATCTCTCTGCCTCCTAACTTCTCCGGCGGAATGAGAGACCAGCCGCCGGAGGCTGAGGAGCATCGAGTCGCAGTGTACCTGGGGGGACACTAACATCCTCTGGACAAGGTATTTTTCTTTATTGGCATACTGAATATGGTAAGGTGTCGTTACGGGGCATGATACGAGCGACCTAGAACATTCCATTTCGGCTATGCTCGCGGTTCGACACATGAAGAAAAGCGACGTTCCACAGCGAGGTCGCCGTTGTGTAGATTTGAAAAGGAGCCGGAATTCAAGGTAAAAGTAGCCACAGTAGCCAGACCATTCATCAAGTTTATCGCCACACTTTTACCCAAATAGAATAAAAGTAGTATTATGACTATAGTTATTTTTATTATTATACAGTAAGCATATTTTCGATTGTAGAGAAACACAGAATTAGGCACACAATCATGCGGCCTTGCTTGGTCTTCAAGCCACACGTAAGTTGCAAAAAAGTGATTATTTATTTATTTATTTATTTAGTTAGTTAGTTAGTTAGTTAGTTAGTTAGTTAGTTAGTTAGTTATTCTAAAGGCCAATGTTATTCAGCGAGTAAAAAAGAACACCGTACAGACTTACTGCCTCACGAAAATAATAATTATCACCACTTCCACGGAATGAAAGGTGATTCCAATCGTTTGGTTTGCGCAAAAGAAAAGAAGCTTCGGTTTTCTACGAAATGGACTACTTACTTCACAGCAATTATCGAAGAATAGAGACTTATATTGTGCTGCAGTGATATAATAAGTGTGTCATGAAGAAAGCAACAGTACGTTCCAGCGGCTAATGTTTTGTTGAGTTGTAGCAGACTGAGGAGAAAGACTGGAGTTTGTGTACTTAATGCTATAAGTGATTGCAGTTAGAAATAATATAGCATTCTTCCCCATTTCATAATATATCTCCATATAAGCATTCATAACAAGCGACGAAGTTCTAACACAATGCTATACAATATGTAAAGAAGCAGGCTGTTTCTATTTCAGGTGACACCAACGGCCTTGCATTTTCTGACATTTAGTTCAACAAACCATATTTTCTATGAATTAGCGCAGGAGCTACATAAGAATGGTTAGTACAAACTTGATGAGTCTGTAAATAGTTTACACAGGACAAAGTTTTTCCCAGAACCAGAGTAGTTCCGGTATATGATAGCCAATAATTCAGAGAAAACATTAAACGTTAAGGTAGTTTTCTTTTTTTTTTCACGAAACTGGAGACCAAAAACCATTGATGATATTTATCATCTTTCAGACTAACATAATTTTGGTGGAGATTTTTTTTCTCGAGTTCACCCGAGAGCACGCGCCTTGCTATCAGCATTAGATTGATTGATTTGAGCAGTTTAACGTCCCAAAACCATGATACGATTATCAGAGACGCCGTCGTGGAGGGCTCCGGAAATTTCGACCACCTGGGGTTCTTTAACGTGCACCCAAATCTGAGCACACGGGCCTACAACATTTCCGCCTCCATCGGAAATGCAGCCGTCGCAGCCGTGCTATCAGCATTAGAGATTAAATATATAGTGGGCAGTGTGAGCAGTACGCTAACCACGCAAGTTTTCCAAAATGCGCAAAATTCGCTCACTCGATCCTTGTATAGGCGCGCTGTGCGATGCGCATCAGCCTGCTGCTGGGGCGAGGACATGCACGTGCATTGGATGACACGTCAAAAAAAAAAAAAATCGAAAACAGTGGGCTGTCTTTTTGCTTGATTTTTCTGTTACATACAAGTAATAAAATTGGCTAAGTTTGCGAAATCCGGTGTTTATTGTAGCCGAAGGGTAGCCGTGGCGCCAACTTGACATTGTTGTCGTCAGACAGGGTTCCAAGGTAGCCAATTTGGCACAAAGTAGCCACCAATGACAACTTTTTTCCACAGCCTGCATAAAAGTTGTCTTTGGGGGTGGGGGTGGGGGGGGGGAGATACATTCAGAAAACGCCATTTTAATCGAAGCGCCACCATCAATCGGGAATATAACTAAACTCCGAAATACTGCTGTACATACTGTACGGAATAACGCAAAACAAAAAGAAAGAAAGAAAGTGAGAAAGTGAGAAAGAAAGAAAGATAGAAAGGAAGGAAGAAAGAAAGAAAGAAAGAAAGGAAGGAAGAAGAACAAAAGAAGATGCAACTCATGAAATAACTCTTCATGTGTTTCTCCTTGCCTTGCGTTTTCGTTAATTGAATCAACCAGCCTCAACTCGCCCAAATGTCAATTCCTTCTGCAACTGCTCATTTGTTTCTTGCGAGATAAGGGAACGGTGAACGCCTGAATGTGAACGCCGGGTGCATCACCGCTGACATCAACCCGAAATGCTTAAAGCAGAACAGTTGACGGCTGAGCGTGCCGCGGTCATCATCACTCACACGGTTTGGGGGTTAATCTCGACATCGCCCAACTTTCCAGTATGAAAGACAGGCGAATCGCGCCTACTGCAATATCTGAACCGCCACCACAGCTCAGTGATTGAACGCGCAAGGCAACGCGTGCTCCTCTCATCCCGTAAAGGAAGAATGTGTCGTGATGCTTGGGAAACTTTGGCTTTCGTTGACCTTGCAACTTGCATGAGCCATTGGTTGTCTGTATTCCGTGTACAAGGCCCATAGGTCACATCTCGGGAGCGGCAACATATAGCCCACTGAGCGCTTTTCTGAGATGCATAATGAAGCAATAAATCGCGACACAAAACACCTGCATATGTTGGCGCCTCCGATGAATCCACGTGCGCTCGGATTCCCCAATAGTAGAATGTAACATATTGCATGCTTTACATATTTTGTTTCCCACGCTTCTATCACTGGGCCTGCTTTTGTCAGACATAAACGAACACATAAGCCTTAAGTGTATGTACATATACTTAGGTGTTACGAAACAAGAAGGTACGCAAAATATGTGTCGTTCTTCAGTTTGAAAGCCCTGTTGTTCCTCTCATGCCATTTATGTGCCGACACCTCGCAGTGTTCACCCGCTTGAGCTAAAGCGTTTGCATTTAGCGAAAGCTTGTGAGTGTTGGAGTGCGCAAAGATTACTTGACATGGAAGGGACGCACACAAGTAACTGGTGGAGATTGATTAATTCCACATTGATAACAGTAATGACGCTGATTTCACCATCACGTGTCAGTTAACATACAATGAAAACAAGGTCAAAGTTTCTGTTATAAATTTCGCGCCGGAACCTCCGTGCGTGGCATAATTAATTTCAAAAGTGCATTTTCCGCATTTTGATGACATTGGCTGAAACACAGTTACTCAAACGTGTTAACTCTGTCGCCCCCTCCGCGGATATTGCACTTAATTTTTATGGAGTAAGAACTTCGTATACGCCTTAGTGCACGCCATCAAAATCATTGACGTCATGGCTATAGTGCAGAAATTTCAAGTTTGTGTCGCCGTCCGCATTTTCTTCTAGTGGATTTTCTCATTTACCAACCACCTTCTTGGGGAAGCGCGGTGAATTCGGCATATCACAAAAGTAATTTACTGATGGGAGCAAAATCATTTTTTCTCTTTAGTGCCCCTGTAGTTGTGACGCACTGCAAACTGGACAGACTTAAAGGGACGCGGAAGGTGAAACCTCGAATTGGTTTAGATTGATAAGTCTTTCTCTGGGAACTCTAATGCCGTTAATCTAAACATCTTAAGTTCATTATTATCGGAGAAAATCAAGGTCAAAGTACCATTTATAAATTTCGCCCAGAAATCTGCGCATGACGTCGAGGATTTGAAAGCGTATTTGTTGTATTTTGCTGGCGGTGGCTGAACGAAATTTCCCGAAACTTGGTATGTTAAGTGTTTGGCCCCATCAGCAGACATTGTGCTTCAATTTCACCCTCTTTCTTTCTTCTTCGTGTCAGGTGGCAGTTGTCAGCTTGCTCTCTCCCTATTTCCTCTGTGTCCTTGTGTATCCGTGCATGCAAATCAAATAAATAAGTAAATAATAAGCTAAGCTAAGTAGGCCTCAGCAAACACTATCAAAATTTATTTATTTATTTATTTATTTGAAATTACTCTCAGGACCAGAGGCATTATAGAGGGCGATAGAGCAAGTTGGCATGCTTACTGCGTTTGGTGCAGAAAGTTCAAGGTGGCGTCGCAACCAGCTTTTCTTTTTTTTGCGCGTTTTCACGCTTACCAAACGTCTCATCACGGTGAGCGCGGTGATCTTGAAGTTATGAAAGGGTAATTTACCAATAATAGACAAAATGTTTTTCTCTTTAGTGTCACTTTGATGCCTAATTAGCGTCATTGTTAAAATGCTTCGTTGTGTTTTTCACTTACAACGTGCATCTCCTTCTCCACTCTCCGCAGTTCCTGTCTGAAAACAAAGACCGTCACTTTCTACGCAGACTAACTCCGTCCACTTCTCCATCCAGAGCGGCGGGCGTCCTCTTCAAAGACCACCGCCCACGTTCCTGTCTCAAGCCTCGTCTCTGCCAGAAGTCTCTCGCTCGCGCTGCCACACCTAACGTGCCGTGCAATTTTCTGTTTTTCTCTCTCACCCGAATGCTCATTCCGTCCACGATGTTATTGTTCTGTGCAACGGCAGACTGGCTTTGCCGTGCTTGCATATGTCTCTGTGTCATTCTCATCCGATACTCGAACTTTTTCGTTTGCTTGCTTATTGTTTTGCCAAAGGAGCTCCCGTGTGCGACTGGCTCAACGCTCGTAGTCTAATTTATTACGTCTTAGAGATGGACTCGTTGCGACGTGCTATATACGACTCACGTTAGGCACGCATTCCTGAAGCCACCGGAATCGCATTGTTGCAGAAGCAACGACACTTTCAGGGACACGTTTCCTTTCCATACTCACTTTCATGTCGTCGCAGGCGATTTCTTTATTCTCGCAGTCCTGTGGAGCTCTTTTTTGCCACTACGCTTCTGTTTTTAGTAATTGTCATACAGCTGCAACATGTGTTTGAAAAAAAAGTGAAAAAAAAAAAGCCGCAGTGCGCATTATTTATTGGTGTTTTTTTGCCTTTTACGTTCGCATATATTGTGTGTGTGCAAGTGTTCGAACTGCGTGTTGTTTGTTGTTGTTTTGTAATTTTCTGTGGCAATTAAAATAAACATGTAGTGAGTGTGGTGAATTTGTGGCTGCGACAGCACGGGAAGCCATCATAGTGCTTGTCTTTGTGGTGCGAAGCGTCACAATGCTTTGATTTTGAATCAAACTAAAGCGTCTCTAATGAAATTCGGCGCTGTGTATTGCTTTTGAAAGTGCTGGGTTAGTGAGACGTAAAGACAGTTAACATAAAGAACAGCGGAATTTGACAACGAAGGCTACAGTAGCTAGTCTTAGACACCACAAGTTAAAAAAAAGAAGTATGGTGTCTAAGGCTATTTATAGTAGCCTTCGGGTGCAAAAAAATTGCGATGAGTAATTCCTTGGGTAGTGAACTTCGGTATTGAGGTCAGTCGATTATTAGTTGGAAAAGTGCGCCAGGGACGCTTTATCGACTGCCCTAACGTTAGTAGTAGTTCCAGCCAAAAAGCTTACAGAGAAATTTCAGCTTCTAAGGCTGGCATGCGCCATCGTATAACAACCACGCATTGATAAACATCAGTGGAATGATGAACATCATTGGAAGTTTCGATAGAGCATGCGTGAAAGGTAATGTTGCGACCTCTTCGAGGGTAGAGTACATCCAAGGAAACACAACGACAGCAATGTCGGAAACAAAGGGAGCAGACGTGAACGTTGCTAAGTGAAGGGAGGTTGTGCCACGAAAGTTGTGCTAAATATAATGCACTACGCACCGGTACGCCATATACTTGTGTACTTCCCAACCAAACGCGTGTGCCCTCGTCCGGACGACAAGCCAGCAAGCTGCCATTTAGTTATAGACTGCCGAAATGCACAAACCAGCCTCTCGCAGACATTTCACGCATAAAATAATGAGCTCCGAAGCGGTCAGCTCATATCGCTACAATGTACATTAAGCTACATTGACTGTATGCCGTCGGGCTTGACTGGCAAAAGAACTCGGGCAAGATAACCAGGTTATCGCTGCAAGAACAATACAGGGCGGGAATCGTGCCCGTAAGGTATGCTTACATTAAGAAAGAAAAAGATAAATCTGAGGCGTTAGCGAATGGCGTGAACAGGAACGACTACAGTGAAGAGGAATGACTACGGCAACATCCAGAACGCACTTATAGAGTAGATGAAGGAGCTGCTGAAACTATAGAGTGCACTCTAGCTGAAACAACCACGCCCTTTTGTTAACAAAGGAGCTGTTTTTCGGCATCGACCCCCTTGAAGAAACACTACTTTCCGCGAAATCTGACTCGAAGCGTAGACCAGGGATAAATCATCCCGCATTGCAAGTTGGAACTGCTGTTACATGAACCACGACAGCAACTATTTTCTTTTCCTCTGTAAATTTCTTTACACCTCTCCCCTTTCTCGGTGCCAGGTAGCATACTGGGCTCAGCCCCATGGTTAACCTTCCAATGTTTTTCTTGCTATTTTTTATGTCTGTCCTTTTCCACAAAGCTTTGTCGTCCGCTTAGCAATGATATATAGTTGAAATTCAATCGAACGAAGTAATGAACGTGATCGAGTTATTTCAATAAATTGGAAAATTCGTAAAACAGAGAAAGGAAACTTTTGACTTCATTGAAGTCTAAAACTGTAACATGGCGACGCCCGAAAGCTACTTCGACATTTTACTTGCCTCTAACCCAAGAGTGCCCGTGTGAAGAGTCGCCCGCACGTAGAGGGCGCCACGTCCGGGCACGCGATAGTGGCCTTGGACATGGCGCCCATTACGTCTGGGTGACGCAGGCCACGTAGACGGTCACGTTAACCTACATGAGAAGCTGCCGAGATGCGCACACAGGGAGAACGACTACAGTGAATGTGAGAGGAGGCCGAGTGAGAAGGTCGTGAGATGACGATTACCTGTCGCGTTAACCATGGACCAGAACGAACACCGCAGTGTTCCTGTTGGAGCATTTACGGGAACAGTAAACCAGCGCAGTCCCCGCCGCTTCATTTGAGTTATAGAGCGCTACCCACCGTTCAGTTCGTTCTTCCGTGCATAGGCGTAGTGTCAAGCCTCTTAAAAAAAAAACTAGGGGTGCGGCTGGATATTCTAACGCAACAGCGTTTAAGCGCACACTTTAAAAAACAAAAAAAGAAACAAAAAACGTCAGTGTCAAACTTAAAAAAAAATGACCACTTCGAAAAGCGTCGTTAGATCGAGATTGGTGGGTGGTTTATATCTATAGTTGGAATTGATAACAACATTGAACCATGCGAGTAGTTACCGGGGAACAAAAGCTTTTTTTTGTTAATCGGCAACATTGTAAAATTTCGTTTCTTTCTATCAAACTTCAACTGCGGAGCACCAACGTCGCGATGCATTCTTCGACAGGTTGCATTCGAAAACTGACGAAATGATAGCTTCAAAGCTTCCGGTGGTATTTTCCGAGTTTAGGCAGTGTTCTGTATCGCACCTCCACGTGTATATCAGTTGATCGGTTATTGATTCGTGACACTTCAAAGAGTATGCCTTTACGCGGGCTGTCCATGCCATTCGGTGGAGCGTCGCGAAATCGCGGTGTTGTGCCGCGTACGAACATCGATGTTTTCATCCCTGCATAAATAACCCTCGAAACGATGATGGCGCTTCAAAGGGGGGCGACAGCACATTTTGAGATTTGAGGACCACAGCCAAAGTAACATCAGCATCATTACACGATGTTCGGGACCGCATGTTTTTACGTTTTAGTTTAGAACCACAAACGGTTAGCAGGGATGACCAAGTCGCAAGACCATATCTTCCAAGTGCTGGTTGTCCAGTACGGGCATGACAGGGCTAGGAGACTTGACCTCCCGGTCCCAACGTGGCATTAGTCAGGCAGGTGGCAACACCCTGTGCAGGATGTAAATAAAGATTATTTTCATCGATCCATCCCATAGTTCTCGACGTCACATACGATGGCTGAACACTGGTGTAGCCGTAGAGGTGTTCGAAAAATTCAACTTCACCCCCTCCCACTTGCCCTTAGAAAAAAAAAAAAAAACGCTTGTATCGTTTCGGAGAACGGTCGCAACATGCAAGAGGTTGATTAAATGCTAACGGCTTCCGAGTGGCACTGGCCATTCAGAGCTGCAAGCTAGGCGACCATACGCAGTGCCGCTACAGTTGGAACACGTTCGCTGATGGATGTTTGTGGTTGTGCAACATTTTCAGCAAGCCAAAATACGCTTGCCTACAGTGACACGACGATGACCTGCACGGCCGCTGATCTTTGAGCAGATGCACCTTTAAAGGTTTCTTACAAAGAAAGTAAGCTCCACATGTTGAATTGGAATCTTTGGCCGCTGTTTTTGTGGATTGTAATTGCACACAAATAATTTGGGAAGCAATGGTCCATGTTTTAGCTGACCAAGCGCTTGTGAAAATAACAGATGTGTCTATAGGCAAGCTTCACCTTTTTAAAACCGGGTTGCAAAGTGAAGCATAATTTTCAGACGAAGGCGAACGTACCATGTGTTGTTCCACCCAAGACGGCTGCCAAAGCAACCTTCACAACGAAGAACCTATCTATACATAGAAGCTACATATTTTACCACAATCAAGAAATTTCGCTTCATTATGGTCGAGATGTTATTCTTGGGAAAGTAGAACGTTCCGCCGCATTTTTTTTTTCTTTTCACTTACCTAAAGCAGTCCCGCCTTATCAGTGACGGGGTCGCATGTTGTAGTCAGGTCGTTCGCTTCCGCGCCGAGTTTTCTAATAACGTATTTCTACAGCAACAAGGCTCTTCTGACTTTATTATTTTTGCTTTAAGCTCATGAAACCTCGAGAACCTGTTTTATACGGAAGAAAGTTTAAGCGGAAAGACAGGGAGGTTAGCCAGTTCTTAGACCGGCTGGCTACCCTGTGCTTTGCGCAGAGGTGGTGTCGTACCCAATGAAGTGTTCTATACGAATGAACAAATCAGGCACGTCGTTAACTTGAGCACATGTTTGTGCGTGCACGTCATGAAAATGCAGAGCAATAACCAGTGTACCTACTTTCCATTGCACGCTAGCGGGGCTGTCGCGAGAGCTTCGCTTCTTCAGTTTCTTGCATTCCAGAAAAAAAAAAATTGATGCGCGCACTGGGTAGTTCCGGCATCGTCACTGCGTTGATGCAGGTCTTTAAACGGACGTCTTGTCGATCTTGACATCACCTGAAGCCGTCGTGTAAATTTGTATCGTGACCCATTTTAAAAAGAAACACGCTCATCTGGAGGTTAGCGCCACGAAAGTACGTGCCCAAGTCTCCGAGTTCGTGGGAACCGTTATCGCGAACACTGCGCCGACTCCGCACGGTAGAAACCACACTGCTGTGCCAACAAAGTTGACGATTGCTGCTATGTGCTAGCTATTTCTTATAGATGGGTTTCACGCATACAGAGGTAAAGTGAGCTAGAATAGGGTAGTGGGCTCACTCGCCGGCCCGCGCCATGCATTGCGGTGACGCCGCCAATGTCACACAAACGTGCTTCGGCGCGCCTCCGTGGCGCGGCGCCACCGCCGCATTAAATGTAGCGATCGTTGGCGCTGGGGCAGTTGCTGCCTGTTTGGAGTGGCTGTCGGTGTGTGCGAGTTTTGTTACTTTGAGAACTCGTCGCGCTTTGCATCCTCAATCCCCTAGGTTCTTCAGCGAACAGTGATGTGGCCTGACAAGCAGTGACCCTCAAACGAAATTAAAATGCTTCCGCGGCGGCAAAACCACTGCTTGGCGCCAGGCTGTCGTACAGGTTACGTCCACGTGAAGGGCAGCAAGAAGCCGTCTTTGTTCGGCGTTCCGAAGGATGCAGCCCTGAGGAAGCAATGGGAAATAAATTTGCATCGAGCGGACAAAGCCCTGGACGACACATCTGCTGTGTGTGACCTTCATTTTGAGCCGAAGTATGTGCTACGGGACTACGTGCATATAATCGAAGGGAAAGAAGTACGCACACCACCTGGGAAATCTTGCCTACGAGAGGACGCTGTGCCTACAATCCTGCCGAACTTGGCACCGTATTTGACAAAAAAAAAAAAGACACCACAAGAAAGACTAACCCGAAAGAGAAAGCGTTCAA